TCGTGTCTTCATAGGGTATTCATCATCTCAAAGCGCTCATTTGTGTCTTGATCCATCCATAAATAAAATCTATGTTTATCATCATGTTCAATTTATAGAGTTAGCATTTCTTTACACATCACTCAATTCTTATTTATCTAGAACATAGTCTATCGGTATTGACACTTGGGTAACTTCTATTCTCATCATGCCTCTTTCAAGTCCTTTATAATCAACATCACCATTTTTTTCCGAGGTATGTTCTCAAGAATTGCCATCATGTAGTGATCATTCACCACCAACCTAACTCACCATTAAACCAATTTCCTAACCAACATTACCTATCCCACAACTAAACATACACCCATCCCTACCACCTCAAAACCAACATAACATGATTACTCGGGCTAAAAACAAAATTAGCAAGCCACTACTAATAAGTAGACCTTTACCTCACACTCATTTCACCACCAATATTGTTGAACCTATAATTGTGAACTAAAAATCCTAATTGGCATAAAGCAATGTCGAAATGTAGTCGGTAATGGCACTCGGAGAGCTAGTTCCACCTATTACTGCCTCTAATATTATTGGGTCCAAATAGATTTATCATATTAAAAGACATTCTAATGGCTCTATTGACATTTTTAAATCCCACCTTGTTGCTAAGGGGTTTTATAAAAAACTTGATTTAGACTATCATGACACATTTAGTCCTGTCATTAAACTAATCACCTGTAAGACTTGTTCTTAGCATCGTTATCATGAATGATTGGTCTATTTAGCAATTGGATGTTAACAATGCCTTCCTCCAAGGCCAACTTTCTAAAGATGTTTATATGATATAACCTTCGGGCGTTATTGATTTTGACCATCCTACACATATCTAAAAGTTCCATAAAGCCATCTATGGCCTCGAACAAACACTACGAGCTTGGTACCATAAGCTTGATACTTTATTCTTGCTATTGGTTTCAAGAACTCTCACACTAACATCTTCTTATTTGTATTCAATGATGGTACCTACCCACTTATGTATGTTGATGATATTATTATTATAAGTGATTGTCTAGCCATTGTTAGTCGGTTTATTGATTATATTTCTTAATGGTTCTCTCTCAAAGATCTTAAACTCTTTTCATAGTTCTTTAGGGTTGAAGGGATTTCTCATAAATGTGGTACTCAATTGTTCCAGCGAGTGTTACATCCTTGATCTTCTCACTCAAACAAACATGATGGGTGCTAAACTTGTTGTCACTCTATTCCCTACTACTTCGACTCTTACTATACACCCGGGCTCTCTAATTTTTGATCTTACTAAATATCATGATGTTCTTGAAAGTCACTAATATCTATCACTCATTCATCTAGACATATCTTATACAATTAACAACTTGTCATAATTTATGCACAAACCATTAACGAACATTATTCATTAGTTAAACATTTGTTGTGCTATCTATGTGGTACTTTAGATGAATGAATTCTACTCTATCATGAGTCATCATTGTTTCTTCATGCCTATTCATATATGAATTGAAGTTGGAAACAACGATGATTTCTTTTTTACTAGTGTATATATTGTTTAGCTTGGTCATAATTCTATCTCTTAGAGTTTGAAGAAATAAAAAAACTAGTGCTTACTTTTCTATGAAAGCTGAACATCGCTCTATTGCTACTACTATTGCTTGAACTAAATTAGGTGTGTTCTCTACTTGTCCGATCTCTAATTTGTTATTTTTACACCTCTTGTTATTTATAGTGATAATATTGGTGCTACTCATTTATGTGCCAATTCCGTGTTCCACTCCTACATGAAATATGTTGCTATTGATTTCCACTTCATTCAAGATCAAGTTCAAAAAGGTGCCCTTCATTTATCTCATGTCTCCTTGACTAATCAACTTGCTATTACACTTATAAGCCATTACCTCGTTCTCAATTCTAGTATCTTAAAGTCAAGATTAGCCTTTTTTCTAGTGACTTATCTTAAGGGGGCATGTTAGATGATAGATCATAACCATCATTGATTTGAATTACAAATTACAAATTTAAATATAATTATTAATTTGAATTTTGATTTGTAATTCAAATTATTTGAATTATAAATTACAATTCAAATCAATGATAATTCAAATGTAATCATTAATTTAAATTTGAATTGTGATGATTGATATATGATCTTAGGAGATTAGCTTCTTACTAGTTCATTAATATATATATATATATATATATTCATCAATGAAAACAATTGGAGCAATTCACACCAATTCAATCTTTGTAATTCTTAACACTTGTAACTAATAAAATCATTACTTCCTAAAAACCATTTTCACCATTACCTAACTATACTTCTATCATTATCAATTTGTTATCGTTTTTCTACCATCATAGTTGTTATTGCTAAAGAAGATTATTGCCATGATTACCTAACTATTTATTGTATCACCATCAATTTACTTGTCTATCGCTATAATAGTTACTTGTTAGAAGGAAAGGAGAGTTCATCTTAACCTCTTGAACGGGGTATAAAAGGAAGTCAAGTTTACTATGCAAGGATGAAAAGTTAATTTTGATCTCCTCTTATATGAGGTATAAACAAATTTAATGTTTTTAGTTTTGTTGTTGAACTTTTAGATCTCTTAAAAAGAAGTAAAAAAATACTAGCACTTGAGCGAGAATGCCATTGATGTCAACCTCTAAGGTTAATGTATTGTTTTCCTCGCACTTAAATTTTTCCCGTAACACTTATGGGAAAATATAAGTCATCAAAATATTTGAAAGAGGAAGCCAATAAAAAATTATGGTTGTTCACAAGAAGAGTTCCCTATTATTTAGTGAGTCAATCATATTGAATCCTTAGTTTAAAAAAAAGCATTGTGTTCTTGAAATTTCAGATTTATGACAATATTAGTCCCTTCCTCCAATTCTTTTAGATATCAATTAGATGGATGCTCGCGTTATACTACGAATCAAACACAATAACTAAAATCATTTGAAAAAAAAAATCATTATGACTCCATGATTTTTGTCACACTATAGATCTATAAAGACAAAAAAAATTTTAATCAAAATTTTGTATTATGTTATTTAAAAGATTTCCTTCTTAAAATGAAATGATTTTTTTTTCATGCATAGATTTTTAATTAAAAATATATAATAATCTAAAACACAAGTTTCAATTTATAAAAAAAAAAATCCTAAAAAAATATGCATAAATTTAATTATTGATTTTACAAGATTGTATTGATCAAATAAAGCAACAATTAGTTTTTTAAAAAAAATTGCATAAAAATTTTAAGATTTAAAATAATTTTTTTGTGATATTGATGAGAAGATATATATATATATATATATATATATATATACTCTCAAAATAATAAATAATATAAGCATAAAAAATCTATTTAAAAAATATGGTGTGGCCAGGTGTTGGTTTTAAAATATAATTTTTATTATTTAATTTAAGGAGAATTGATTTCAAAATATATAGTTTTAAAAAATAAATATTCATTTTTTTTTTGTATATATACAGATCAATTTGTAATACAAAAAAATTATAAAATTAATTTTGATATTTAATTATTTATAAACAATATTATAAAAATTTTATTATAATTTTATTGCTTAAACATTTGGTCAAGTGAATTGCACATAAAACAAATAAAAGAAAGCACACAAAATTATTACAACCGTATACAGATTTGAGCTGCTATTTAATGCAAAAATAATAATAATAATAATAATAATAAAAGAATATTTTTAAAAGCAAATTCAGCCATCAAATAAGCAATTTTTCAGAGGGAAAGCATAAAAGTTTCTCCACTTTACAACTTTCGACACCAAAATGCAACCACTATATTATATTGGTAAAATCATTTTACATACATCTTTAATAAACCAATAATTGCACTTACTATTTTAACTTTATTTGTGGTCACTTTTGAAATTGATTGTTATTTATAGGCATGACATACTTTTGTTATTTTCGAGGTAATGTATAGGGCACATTTAGTTTTTTTATACCCAATAGATTTTTGTTAATGCACTCTTTTGTTATAAGCAACAAATATGATATTTATGATTAAAAAAAAATCACCTGCAAAAAATGATAAAAGAAGTCTTTGAATTGCAAAGTAAATTATAAATTAGTCTATCTCGTTTCGAGAAATAAATTAGTTAGTCGTTTTGGTTTCAAAAATTAATTATTTAATCTTTTTAATCAATATTGATCACGATTAATTTTTTTATTTTCTAAAATTTATTCTTTTTATTCTTTTTTTATTTCTTAAAATAAAAAAAATTAAAATAGCAAAAAAAAATAGTTTTTAAACCATAAATATTAATTAATTCATTTATCGAAAAGAGAGAGACTAATTTATAATTTACTCTTGAATAGCAATGGCTCTTCTACGAAAATAAGAAGGAAAAAAACAATTAAAGACAAAAGCATTAAATGCTCTTTCTGAAAAAAAAGAAAAATGAAATGACAAAAAAAGCCCTAAGAAGAAAATTAAAAGATAATCAATCAAAAGTAAGTATGAACCGTAAGATGACAAAAAATAAATTAATAGACAGCAGCAGAGCACATTGAAGGATTGCAAGAAGGACTTACCAATGATGACGACCCAAATCGAAGAAGAAGTTTCAAATGGTGCAATTGAGTCATAATAAATAGTTATTCTGGATTTACAACAACAGTAAATGAATAGTATTAACAGTAAACCTAAAATTTTTCAGTTTTTTTTTTTTAGTTATTAGTTGAAAAAGTTGACCATTGAAGTTGACAGTTAACTTTAACGGAAATTGTTACGAATTGGATAAAGAACCCAAATTTGTTCTAAAATTAAACTTTCAAGGATCTAACCAAATTTTATTAAACTATAGGCTTCAATGTGACTAATTATTGAATCACAGGGACCTCCACCGACGAAAAACCTAGAAAATATAGATAGAGAAGCACGGAAAAAGAAAACAACTGGGAGAGAGATAGAGCGTAATAGGAGCTAAAAGGGAGCGCGATGGGAGATGCAAGCTCCACCACCACCACCGCCTACGATGATATGCTTCTCAAGAGCTTCTTCGCTGAAGTCAGCGAAGTCGAGCGAGATAACGAAGTCGCCAGGTCTCTTCTCTCTCTCCGTTCTTACTTATTTATATTCACGTATATATTTGGATTTGAATCATAATTTGCGTTTCAATTAGGGTTTCCTAGTTATGATTTTGAAGCAAACCTGGATTTTTCATTTGATTCCACTTATATAACCGCCTAGAATCTATCTACGGACTCGTGATTTGTGTATTTCTATTGCTTTTGATCAATTGATTATTGATATGTAAATTATAAAAATGAGACTGTAAATTTTGTGCATGAATAATAATTTTTGATTAAATTTTATTGAATCAATGAGGAAGTAAAATGGTTCTTAAAGGTTGAAAGCTTGAGCGATGGAACCAATTTTTCATCTGTATAGGATTATTTTACTTGATTTTTTCATTTGATGATACTCTTTGAGTGATGAAATGGTCTTTGAACTATTAATCATATCATCATAATATACCGTAAAATAGTGCTTCCCTGGAATGTTTAAAAAGAGAAATAGTTTAGGAAATTAGGAGAATTTGAACAACAAAGGAGTTAAAAGCTTCAACGCTGAGAAACCCTTCAACAACTCAGGGTTTCTGTAATTTTTCTTCTTCTTCTTTTAGAATTTTTATAACTAGCCTTTGGTTGATTCATTATCGTTCTTCATATCACATAGTTGTACTCATTTGCATTATGAGTAGAGGCAAAACTGTCCCGTAGAGGGAAGGGAAGGGGAGGGTTTCTGTCTTTATTTCCTCATCATGCTTAAAATGTTCACTTCTCATTTGATAGAATTTGCTTAATTTATTATATTCTAATTTATTTTTTCTCTTTGGAAAAATTTTAAAAACTGTAGGATTCTTTCATGCTTCAAGTTAAATCCGTTTGAGTATCTAAATTTACCATTTGAATCATCTCCAGAGGATGTCAAAAAGCAGTATCGTAAGGTAACAATTTTTTTATGGGTGATGGAATTTACTGGTTTGATTATTACATTCATTATTTTGTGTCTTATTCATATGCTCTATGTCTATTTCACGTGCAGTTATCTTTGCTGGTTCACCCTGATAAGTGCAAGCATCCTCAAGCAAAAGAAGCTTTTGGAGGTAAATTTTTCTATGTATTATAGCTTGCATGGTTTGAGAGAACATGAATTTTGTGGTTGACTTATTATCTTTAGCATATAGCTTTTCTATTTTCAAACTGGAAATATCAACTTTTACATTGACTTGAGAAGATTTCAACTCCAACTCAAGCTCTTCTGCAGTCGTCTTGACAAGTCTAGTTTGAACCGGGAAAAACTGGGTTAACCCAAATATAAACCAAGCCCAATCCCACCGACGTGGACTTAACTCAATCCATCATATTGCAAGTGGAACGGGTCAAATAGGCAGACCAGGTTCAGAAAACAAGTGCATTAGTGCCATTTTGTCAAAATATAAACAGGTGGGGCCACCTAAGAACCTTTTTATGTGAACCAGAGGTGGCCCAACCTGATTGCACCCAAAAATGTGTCAGTTTGTGTAGAACTGTACACAATGAGAAAACAGGGTTAATGCAATACTACTGTTATTTTCTGACGTGAAATGTAGATAAATTACAGGTAGTTGTAATTTTTATAATTCGCTGTGGCATGATTCTTGGGAATAATGAAACTGGCATAGTGTGAAGGTGCATAATGATTTGAAGTTAAGAGGAGATAGTAAATGATGGTAATTTGGTTTTTTCTTGGGAATAATGAAACTAGCATAGAGTGAAGGTGCATAATGATTTGAAGTAAAGAGGAGATAGTAAATGATGGTAATTTGATTTTGTCTTGGTGTTGTGGTTGAAAGATAGGCAGGAAAATGTACGATTATGTGTCCAGATAAATTTATTACTTTATGGAATAGCTTTGATAAAGCTCTTAAAAGCTATGTGCACAGCAACTGATAAATAACAAGTCTCTTTTGTCACAAAGATCAAAATTATGCATTAATTAAGGATGTGTTTCCTATTGAAATTAGATTACAATAGTTGTGGTCCACCTCGACAACAATATTCTTCCGTCATTTAGGCACAGTGATGCAAGAGAGTTACTGTGCCAGAAAGCAGAGAAGTGCAGTGCAACTCTGCTGGAGGACTTGAATAATTACAAGTGATGTACATGGTTTTGAAACAGGAAATTGAAGAATGACCTCACTGGTGCTGCCGTGGGTTTTAGACTTTGGTTTTGCTGTGCTAGCCTTAACTTTAATTTTTAAGGAGAGTATCATTTCAATGTCTCATGTATTTGATGGTTTTCTGTGATTTGTGATAACCGTTTCTGGATGGCTTTTTTATCTAAATTTTTTTTATCATGTGAACAGATAAGGAATAACAATCATATCCATATGTATGCATTATGTAGAGATACATAACTATAAAATTGTTTCGATCTGGAAGTATACTTTAATGTTTCACTCACATGGCTTTGTTAACTTTTGAGCAGCATTGGCAAAAGCCCAGCAACTCTTACTTGATGTACAAGAAAGAGAATATGTTCTTACCCAGGTTAATTCAGCAAAAGGTTAGTGCTGAAGATTTGATAATTTACTTTCTCTCTAACATGTTAATGGACTGTAAACATTTTTTCTGGAAAGCAAAAAAGAAAATTTCTTTTTTTCCCTCTGCATTTTGAATTGGAGCATTTCTGATGTTGAATTGCAGCATTTTGGCTCACTTTGTCTCTTGTTCTTTCTTTTTTTTTTTTTTTTTTCTTTTTTGTTTGTCAAATTGATTATTAAGAAGAGCTTATCGATAATGTAATGTGAATTTGCAGAAGAACTTCGAGCAAAGAGGAAGAAGCAGTTGAGGAAAGATACAGCCTCCAAAATAAAGTCATTGGTTGATGAGGTCTGTGAGGTTTTAATTTTATATTTTCCCTTGATTTCAATTTGCATTAGTGCCTGTAGATCATTCTTGATGCACTAACTGGAGTTTTAAAAATGAACTGTCTTTTAAGTTAGATACTAGAGGTTTTGAGCAAATGGATAAATTACATGTCTCGCTTCCCAATTTAACACAAAAATGAAAAATAAAAAAGAAGATTTGGTGAAACTTTTTTCACTGCCAAACTTTCCAAAAATTTATAAAATTCCTCTGGTTGTTGAACACTTAAAAGAGAGGTTTCTATCAAGTTTTACTTAGCAGTTGAAAATCTGAAGAGTTATTGATCAGAGCCAGAGACTTTTAGGTGGTGCTGGAAATTTGCTATACCCTAGGCAGAGCTGAGCATTTTCCTTAGATTTCAACAAAAAAAAAAAAAGCTATCAGATGCGCTGTTGCTACCTTGTTGCTTAGGTAAAACAATACTTCCAGAGAATAAATAATGGTTGTCTTACCTTAAAAAATGAGAATTGACAATGGTTTGCAAAACTACTTTCAACAATCAGAAGGTAAAAATTAACATCTGATTCATTCCTTTTTTAGTTCATAATTTGTGATGCTGGGATTCATTCTAGTGCTGATTCTCATCTTACCATATTGTCACGTCTCCTTCTTACCACTTTACTCTTGAACTTTTTGTTTCTGTTACCTTTATTGTTTATTGTTGAATGTTTGCGGATATATTGAAGAAAATTTTTATCTGATAGCTTCATAAAGATTGATTAGCATCCTTTACTTTCCAGTATACCTAATAATCTTCCCATGTTCGTTTGGAGCTCCTGGTATCTATTAAAGGATTTTCTTTTCTTTTCTTTTTTTCCCCTTTTTTTTTTTTTTTTTTTTTTTTCAAAGATAGTTACTGTACTGTCAGTTTTTCTTCAACCACAGTTTGCTTATCTGTGGAACTGAGCCTCTGTTTGCTTCTTTGAATGTAAGGGTTGTATGTTAAAATCTTCTGACTTTTTATCCCTCTTTATGTGATCAGGGAAAATATGATCAACAATATGAACGATCGGAGGAGTTCCAGCAGGAGCTCAAATTGAAGGTTCGAGAAATTTTAACTGAACAAGAATGGCGGAGGAGGAAAATGCAGATGAGGGTATGCTGGAAGATCAGTCATTTTCTTTTTTTCTGTAGGTATTCTTGTTTAAAGTTGCACACTTTCATGATCCTCTTTCTTTTGTAATTAGATATCGGAAGAGGAAGGTAGATTGAAGAAGGATGAAGAAGAACAGAAGGAGATGTGGAAGAGAAAGCGTGAGCATGAGGAGCAGTGGGAAGGAACAAGAGAAAAGAGGGTTTGTTTCTGAATTTTCTTTTTTCCTTTTTTAATTTTAATATCATTTTGCAAACCTTTGAAATTACGAGTCTGTTTCTTCCTCTAATATGTGTTATGTTGTTCAATTTTCTAATGCTATCTAAGGATTCCAGTATCCGATAGATCTAAGTCTTTGACTAAGTGCGTTCAATAAGTGCATGACTTGAAATGTCTTGTTGCACATAAGTCTGAATTCGCATTTCTAATTAATTCTAGCTTGGAAAGCAGGTTTGGCCTGTTGAATGAAGTTGTTAGAAACCTAGATATGATCTTAGGAAGTAAATACCATTTTGTTTATAAATTAAGTTTTCAGTTTCGTACTAGGTTAAAGGGAAAAAGGCACACTTTTCATGGGCCTCTAATGCTCTGATTTTGAAGATTCTCATTCAGGCATTTTGTATGAATAAAAAACTATTGTTCATTATTTCTTTACTTCTGTCAGGTATGGTCAGGGATTGGAAATCCAGTGACTGTCTTAAAATTTGGTTGATTGAACCTGTGCTTTCTGTTTCTTTCCCCCTATTTGAGATTCTTTTCCCCTTTATATAAACCTTGAGTGAATATCCGTTAAATTTTTGCTTATGTTGCCATTATTTAATAGTATCAGTGCTGATGTATTCGGCTACATCAGCAACATGTACCAAATCAGATTATGGTAAATCCTCCATGGCCCTGCTGACTCAGTACTAGGAAAGAGAATGGGTTACCATCCTCTCCTGACATTCTCTTTCTCACAAGTCCCATGCCCGATTATTCTTCTCATCTTCACACAACTATCGTTGTTGTCCACACCAACCACCTTGGCCATCCTTCTGAATGTGGGCATGAAATGCCTATGGTTGGATAATTTACATAGATGGACACTCATACATGCATTGCGAGAAAGCACATGCTTATATTAGTGTAGATATGGATAAGGGAAAAATAGGTGGCTGTAATTAACTTATATATTGCGAGAGTATGAGCTACAGTTCAAGCATAAGTTTAAAATTTCACCTGTTTAGATATGACCCATGCATCATCCTCTCCATCCTCTTTTCGTCTTTTAAAAATTTCACCTTTCCTTTTTCTAGTACTCCATACCCATCGGAAGAGTGAAAAGTTGCTTTCCCAGTGGAATAATTTTGACCATGGTTTTCTATAGAATTCACTGGTTAGTGGAGATCTATTCATGGAAGATAATCAAAAAGGTTGAATAATTTTTATCCCTTAAAACTGGATAGCAGGTGAAGTGATCAAGTTCCTCCAGTTTGGTCGTCAAAGTGAAAAGAAGAAGATGAACATTGCCATGTTGTCGACTATGCCAAGAGCCTCACTTATACCCATTTAAATGATGCTTCTGGCCATCTTATAATCACCTTTTGATTCTGTTCCTTTCACACTAGAACTTAGTTTATGATTGCAGTTCCCCTTAAGCTAATTAGTGGATGTTTATGATATCTACATGCAATCATGCACCTCGCTATGGTTTCCTTGTTTGACTAGTGTCTTCGTTGAATATACTTTGAATCACATTTTTTATTCTTTTCGTCGAGCCTCCCCTTAAAAACAGAAATATCATTTTTAGCTTTACATCATTATGTGGCCTCACATTGATTATTATAGTTGTTATTGATCATCAGGTTTCAAGCTGGAGAGATTTTATGAAGACGGGAAAGAAGGTCGGGTTATAAACTGATTTTGTTGACTAGATGAGCAACAATTTCTACATATGATTTTTAAGCATACAATAAAAACAGGCCTGAAACTTCTTCTTCTTCTTCTTTTTACTCTGTTTGCAGGGCAAAAAGGGAGAGATTCGACCACCTAAGCTCAAGACCGAGGATCCCAACAAGTCCTATGTTCAAAGGCCTGTAAAGCGAGGTTAATTGGCATGATATCTGTTCTTGATAGCTATGATATTAACAATCAAGTTTCCTGCAAGTTGAAGGAAGCTTTGGATGTAGGTTTAAAATTGTATCAGTCCATGTCTTGCCTGTATAAAAGACATGATTGAATTAGATTATAGGCTTTCGTGGAGCATTGTCCTATGCCTTCAGGTAAACCAAAATCTTTGTTAAGGCTTCCAGATCTTCATTGTCAGGATATATTTACAGGTACTTATATTACATTTACTGATTTTAGAAGGCTAATTAGTCTATATGATTAGTGTTAGAGGGTAATGATCCAGTGGTTAGATACTTTTGTATTTTAGTTTCCCTCAAGCAGATGAAATACGTGCTTGGCATACTCGACCCTTCTTCTTTTTTTTCTTTTTTTTTTCCGTTGGCATCCTTGGTGTTCTATATGTGAATATTAGAATTTAGTTAACGTGATATTTGTGTGAAATTTTTACTATTGCGGCATTTCCTTGACTGAAACAACGCTGGTAAAGTGGATGAGGAACACCGTTGCTTGAAAATCTTGACACAGATTATTTTGATAATCACCCTTTGCATGGTTGTGTTTTATGGCTCTTTTTTTTTTTTTTTTTTACCTCTTCAGTATCAGAATGAAGATTGATTGGCATGCCAAGCAGATTTGTGACTCATCCTGCCTTATTTGAAGACGGTTACGTCTTGAAAAGGTTGAAAATTGATCTAGCATTGTTGGTGAACTTGTTTTGCCGGGTTCCTAATTGCTGGCAATCAAATTTTACAAGCAAATATAATGGGAGAAATCAAGCTAAGGAGAGGGTCTAACCTCTTCGTATAAAACCAATAACCTTCCAATTTTAGGGGACCGTTTCTTTCAGAGGAATTAAAACCAACTAGCCCATTGCTCCAGCTTTGCTACGGGTTTAGTAGAATAAAATTATTTTAAAATTTTAAAATTTTTTAATTATAATATTTTATTTAATTAATTTTTTCTAATGTTTTATAAATGCTATGCTTAAAAAAACATAGATTATTCTTCTTTATGGATTGATTTTAAAATTAACAATTATCATAATTTTAAATAAAATATTAATCAAGAATTGAAAAAAAAACTTCAAAAATATAATTTTCATAATATTGTATTCTAAAATATATATATAATTATTGGATAGACTTTTACAAAATTAACAAATGAAAAAAAAATTCTTATTTAATGCTAATGAGAAGATTGATTTTTGAAATTATCCACACAACGCTACGGTTAAATAGAACAATATCGTTTCAAAATGTTATAATTTTTTCATTAATTTTTTATTCAATTATTACTTTTGTGTGTTTTTTTCATAAAATTTTGCTTAAAAAACATTATTTATTCTTCGTCATTAGGAATTCTTAAATAAAAACTTGTAATAATTTAAACTCGAAATATTAATTAAGATTTCAAAAATAAATACTTTAAAATTATATTTTTTTACTAAGAATGTATTTAAAAAATAAAGTTATAATTAATGTATAGACTTGCATAAAAATTAACCAATAAAAAAATAAAATTTTATTCCTATTTAATGCTTGGTGAGAAGATTAATTTTTTTTTCAAGTATATGCATTTGATCTATATATATTTATTTACAAAATAATCAATAAAATTAACATAAAAAACAGTATTTGAATAATTGGTTGGTTCCTTTAAAAAATTATTTTAATTATTTTATTCCAAATAAATTGGTTCTATAATGTTAAAAAAATATTTATAATAAATAATTTGTATTATGTTGGACGATGTATAGCTAATTTTTAATAAAATCAACGATTCAATAATTTTTTTATACGTCTTGACTATATCTAGTAAATTGAGATAAATTATTTGAAACACACTTTTAACCTTTTAGAATATATATATATATATATATATATATATATATATATATATATATATATATATATATATATATATATATATATATATATATATATATATCATTTCAAAATTCTAAGAATTCATGATATATATTATACCAATTTATTTTTTAAAAAAGAAAAAATAATTATGTTTTAAAATTTTATTCTAAAATTCAAATATAGAGAAAAATAAATTATATAATATCGGTAAATAAAATTTCATATAAAAAATATTAATTGGATGATAATTTTTATAAAAAAAATATGATAAACTCAAAGAAAGAAATTTAAATAATAGGAGTAATATAAGCTGTAGTATATTTTAATTTTAAAATATAAAAAGATATATTTTATAATCTTACTGTTTGTGTGGGAAAAACTTACGATTGATTTTTCAAAATTTTAACACCCAATTAAAAAAAAACATAAATTGATGGAGAAAAGCAAATAAAAAAACCCAAAAAAAAAAAAAAAGGCATATGTAGTGCATCAATAAGGGGATTAAAATTTTTATTTTAGATTTTTAGTGACCAAAATGAAATAACTTAAAAATTACAAAAGAAAAAAAACAAAACCTAAGCTACAGTGATGTACTGTTCATTTAAACAGTAAATCACTATTCCTTTATCCTAGATGGTTTAGTTTTATAGTAAATAATGAAGTTTAATGCAGCTAAGGAATTTCGAAAATTCATGCCATCGCAACGCAGGACAACATTGGCATCACATAGCAAGTCTACATCTTGATACAGGAGGATAGCTGGATTTGTGCAGTAAACTAACAAGAATATAGTACGTATGATTGCCTATTTTGATACTATGCTAGAACATTATGTTAATTTTTCAGGAATTAGCAGAAATAAATAATAGTCTATATGAATTACATGAACAACAGAAAAATATTGTGGCATTTGACTTCACCTCATTTTCACCCCACTAAAAAAAAAAAAAAAAAAAAAAAAAAAACAGAAAAAAAAAATGAAAAAAAAAAAAGAAAGGAAAAACAAGAAGGATGGACAGCCTAGGTGTGCCAAGCCCAAGCCTGGCTGTCTAGTCCAATCAGCTTAAATCAAAATAGAAAAAATTTTCTAAACCAACCTTAAATGCACTCTATAAATATCCTGTTACACATAAAAAAGGGGGAAAAATAAAAAGAGAAAGAAGAGACTCGTCACCTAAAAAAGAAAAACCCAAGTAGCAAAAAGAGAAACAAAACAGCAACCACAAAGATTATACCGTTGCTCGCCTTACATCCGCCATTGATCGACACATACTAGATCGGAAGAAGCGTGTGTCCAAGAAGGTTTCAACCTCATAAGAATCGCTAAATTCCGATCACCAAGGAGGCTACACTCGCCGTTCAAAGTTTTATTGTTCGTGGTGTACTTTTATCCGAGTTTAGTACTCGAACTCGATTTTGGTAATTACACCTCCACATGTTTTATATTTGATTTAATCATCATCCAACTTTTGTATATTGCATGATCACTTGATTGATTAATATGTTTTTCAAGCTAATTATGTGACTAGGATGAAATTTGGACGATTATGAGATTAGAACATCTTGATTAAAAGGTCGAAATTGAAAAAATCAAAACTTGTTATACTTAGTGATTTTTTACAGATTTAAAAGGGATTTAAATTCAAAAGTTTTGTGATATTTGTGTGTTCTTAAATTTAATCTGATTTGGTTAGGGTTTTGTTATTTTTAATTTATTTTATTATTATCTATAATTTTATTTTTTTATTCATTATTATTTTTAATAAAAAAAGGGTTTAATGGTTTGATATATTATATATTATTTTTATTTTCTACATAAAAAGTTCCTAAGGAATTATCGATCGATGACAAAGGTAGCAATAGGCTTGCCAATGTTTTTTTTTTTAAAATAAGCCAACATGAATTAATAGGTCAAGGATCTTGTGAAGGCATATTGACTATTTAATCCTATGAAGTTGTTTTCATGTGATCTGTGATTTTTTTTCATGTTTAATTTTATGTCTTACACTTTGTGTGTTTATTTTGTGTGATGATAGTCTAGGTTGGTCTAAGTGGAGAAGGTTTAGGACTTGAGATCGACTTTGCTCCAATGACGGATATTTTCCTTACTATTATTTATTTTTATTTTTTATGTGGTTTGATTTTTTATTTTTTTATTTTTATTTATTTATTTTTGCAACTAATTTTTTCTTCTTGCGGCTTTAGCTCCGAATTTGAGCTTTAGGCCCAATTTAATATTTTAAGGTGGCATGCAAGGTGATATGCATTTGAGGACTATCTATTTTCTTATGGACTTGTAATTATTTTTATTTCATGGTTTGGTAGGTGAATTTAGGCTAATGGTCTATATTCATTTTATTTATTTATTTGTGTGTGTAGGATTAGGGTTTAATTTGCAATGGGCTTTAAGCCCCGATTTTTACCTCCCTAAATGTGAATATTAGATGAAAGATTGAGTTTTTTTCGGTCTCCAAATCACCTTTCTTAGGATCGAGTCGGAAAAAGTTCAAATAATTGAACATGCAAATCAAGATAAAAAGATGATTTGCATGAATGAATTTTTCTAAACTAGAAATACAAGATAATCTCATTGCAATGATAGACTAGGATGATCGTAGTCTTTCCCAATTGTGTAATCATCTCATTTACTTAAAACTCTTAAGATCAATGATAGTTTTTTTTAGTTTTCAGCTTTTTGAAAATTAAGCGACAACTCCACGACTATACGTTTTTATTTTTTACGATTATCGAGAGATCACCGTATGACGGAATGGCAACTCTACTAGGAAATTAGTGGTTAAGCCTATGATGTTTCTTGCTTTTGAGAATTATCTTTGCAATCTTGATATATTTGTATTTTTATGCATTTTACTTTGATGTTTGGACTTGTATATGAAATGTGACCCCTTTGCACATAATAACATATACACAAGAATGATATTTGAAGTCTGTACACATTTTGTTTCCTTAACTTAATATTATAAGGAAGGAGGTGGCACTCGAGGGATTGCGGTCTCAAAGCTCATGCAACTCACCCCTCCACTCACATGGAAAATTTATCCTTGTGCATAAGACCGTGAAGGGCAACCTAGAAACCCTCTATGATGGGATCC